CCGTATTTACAGTATTTTACACACCGTATTTACAGTATTTTACACACACCGTATTTACACGATTTTGCACGCACTGTATTTACAGTATTTTACACACACCGTATTTACACTATTTTACATGCACGGTATATACCGTATTTAACACACTCCGTATTTACAGTATTTTAGACACACCGTATATACAGTATTTTACACACTCCTTATTTACAGTACTTTACACACTCTGTATTTACAGTATTTTACACACTCCTTATTTACAGTACTTTACACACACCGTATTTACAGTATTTTACACACCGTATTTACAGTATTTTACACACATTGTATTTACACTATTTTGCACGCACTGTATTTACAGTATTTTACACACTCTGTATTTACAGTATTTCACACATCGTATTTACAGTATTTTACACACTCTGTATTTACAGTATTTCACACATCGTATTTACAGTATTTCACACACCTTATTTATAGTATTTTACACACTCTGTATTTACAGTATTTTACACACTCCTTATTTACAGTACTTAACACACTCTGTATTAACAGTATTTTACACACTCTGTATTTACAGTATGTGACACCCTCTGTATTTACAGTATTTTACACACTCCTTATTTACAGTACTTTACACACTCTGTATTTACAGTATTTTACACACTCTGTATTTACAGTATTTTACACACTCCTTATTTACAGTACTTTACACACTCTGTATTTACAGTATTTTACACAATCCTTATTTACAGTACTTTACACACTCTGTATTTACAGTATTTTACACACTCCTTATTTACAGTACTTTACACACTCTGTATTTACAGTATTTTACACACTCTGTATTTACAGTATTTTACACACTCTGTATTCACAATATGTTACTCACTCTGTAATTACAGTATTTTACACACTCTCCATTATCAGTTGTGTCAAATCTATTTACTTAGTTCTGATGAAAACACTAAATATTCTCTACTTTACATGTTTTGTACCAATGCGTTGCATCTTCAAACTATTAAACAATCCTTAAAGCACACTTTGCAATGCAGACAACATTCATACATCATCTTGGTACTTCCCTGTTATGACGTATTGTAGAATAACTCAGTGCTTGAGAAGGCTCGAAGTTACTGGCCATAAACCCCTTAAATAATTTACAATCCGCATTTTGAGTGTTGTGGACCCAATATATCTTATTCAAGGCCCACCCCTTTGGCAGACAGTGGGTCACATAACCCATATGCATTCAGATCAGTTTGGGGTAGCCTGACCGATGCAGAGTATACCAAGAGAAGAAAAGAAAGTCTTTGTCTACTTTCAGTAGGGGATGAGTTGTTAGATGCGAGGCTCTTCTCCAACAAAGAATTCTGTATATTCCATAAAATACTACTTGTGGCCAAATATTTTTAAATTCTGTAGAATATATCACCTACTAGGTCTTTTGAGATGCGGAACTCTTCTCCAACAAAGAACTCTGTATATATATTTTTTTAAATACTGCGTAGAGGTTGTCTCTCACCCGAACTTGTTTATTTGTTTGTTGTTTAACGCTGGTCTCAGCAATATTCCTACACACCAAAATCAGCCCGAAGTCCCAGTTTCTAATCATGTTTCAATGGAAACATACAACCATATGGATAACTACTCCTGGTCTATGGCATATAGCGACGTTTCGATGTAGATTCTTACACTGTTATCAAGCTGGAGTGCGTAAAAATCTACATCGAAACGTCGCTTAATGCAATAAATCAGAAGTGGTTATTTATAAGGTTGTATGTATTCTTATCTACCAACCAACTTCTAGAATGATCATCATTCAGTATGTTTCAATGTTGTTTGACCATTTGGGTTGACAGCTGTACTCAGGCACATTTTGTGACTTACTTACTTACATTGGAGATTTTAACGTGCACTTTCCGACTTCAGCGTATTTCGCACACGGGCGGCCAGGCCATTTAGTGTATTGCCAAAGAGGGGGAAGAAACGAGGATGCAACCAGGATGGGGCTTTATTGGCTGCTCATATATTGTTTTTGGAAATTTGGAGAATTGGAAAATGCCAGGGGTGGAGGGGGTAGTCACAGTTCATGAAGAAACAATGGGGCATTGAAGGCGGCGTCTAATGGACTCTGTCCTGTTATCTACTGCCCCTCTTACAACCGGTCTGACACGTTTAGTTAGCCCCGTAACAGCTTCTCGATTGTCACATTAATAACGACACAAGTGAACTTGATGTAGCTCTCACATGTATCACACCCGGTTAAGTACACTGGCTATGATGTTCAAAGTAGGGGACAGCTCACAAACGTTTTATGATCAGGAATCGAGTCTAGGGATCCGTAAGGAGGATTTCAAGAAACCTTAGGTTTTTCTTACAACAAGGATTTGATTAATTAGAAATATTACTACACGATACAATAGGGGTACATATAAACACGCCCATATCCCTGTGACCTTTATACTCGTGTTGGTAAGAGCGCAAGAGTATATTTGTCTCCTCCGTAATGTTCTGATTAAAGATTTTCGTGTGGTGTCTACAATCTGTGGTACTCTCTCCGAAAGTGTCATATCTCCATGATTAACGTATGGATTATCCTTGTACTACTATATTGCTGAGAGCTTAATCTTTGAAAATATGGACTGACTGGTAAAGGGTGCACTTCCGGTGGAACTGATTTCTGCACTTTGGGGAATATTTTCTGCACCAGTAAATATAACAGTGGAAGATCTAGATGCAAAGTATGATCCGTTTAAAAGTAAAGGGGATCGGATAAAAACACATTTACTAAATGGCAATTTTATAATTTTGAACTGTTTGCGCTTTTATATTTTAAAAAACTAGATGATGTGTTGGAAGTAAATTAAGAGTAAATTTAGAGTACTTAACTTAAGGTTACCTAACATATTGACTGAGCCAGCCTGGTTATGGGATCGGTTATCTTTCTTGGACATTGACCAATTGTCATCCAAAATGTCCAAAAAGACCTTTTTAGATAAATTTAGTTTCAAAGTTGATAAATGTCCAAATGTTGCCTGTCTCTGGTTAAATCAGTGATCCTAGTGTTGATACCGCCCCTGTAAACTCATGTCCATACATGAGAACGTGTCACTGAGATGTCATGGCAGGCGTTGAGACGTAGGGGGGGATATTGACCATACACCCAAGTGTATATTCCCACATGTCAACCCCAGGCGGGGGGTCTTCGCACACACTTAACGATATACTGCTGGTAATTGCCGGGTAAAAGTCCATTGTGCGCTACGCTTGTGACACGGGCAACCGTAACGTCACCTTTGTCACGGCACTGTTGGAGGCCAATAGCGCCGCACTTCAGAACTGTGAGAAATCGTCTTCGGGCTTCCGATGGATCCTCTGCTAACATTACTTTGACACCTTTGTTGGCCGTCATTGGACTGGTGATTACTTGTCGAAATACAATAATATGTCTTTGTACTCAAATACCTTCATCCTGAATTGAAGGAAAGTACAAATTAATTTTCTAAAATTCAATTTTGATTCAAAATGCCATGACCCCATATGTTTTCCTGTTAACAAATAAACCTAGAGTATCCTTATTAATTTTTTCCCTTAAGTGTTTATTAATTTTGAGTAAACGTAACCTGCTAACTGGTATACTTAAACAGCTAAATGAATAAATTAATTCTGAGTAAACGTGGCCTGATAACTGGTATACTTTAACAGCTAAATGAATAAATTAATTCTGAGTAAACGTGGCACGATAACTGGTATACTTAAACAGCTAAATGAATAAATTAATTCTGAGTAAACGTGGCATGATAACTGGTATACTTAAACAGCTAAATGAATAAATTAATTCTGAGTAAACGTAGCCTGATAAATGGTATACTTAAACAGCTGAATGAATAAATTTGATAAACTCTAATAGTAATAAAATGGAAGACGAACTGGATGCAAACTTGTCTTTACATGTTTATGTGTTAACTCTGTTTATCAAACTTATTTTTGGAGAGATTTCGAAATAATATGACTTTATCTTCTTTTCAGGATTCATGATCATTTCATGCTTCACTTAGTGTGTTCTCTAATCAGAACGTGAATATCATGTATGTGTACACGAAGCTCTGGCATCACATGTGCAAAGTAGTTTTAGTTCTACTGTGTATCAACACTGCTCCAGATCCCCATTCCACAAAGCGACCTTAGCGCTGCCGTAAGTCTGTTACGGTATGAAAGTTACGATTACCTTAGCGCTGAGATCGCTTTGTACAACGGCACCCTGGGCCGAGTTCCGCAAAGCGACCTTAGCGCTAGAACTGTCGTAAGTCTATGTGAAAGAATGGGAGTTGCGATGTCTTAGTGCGAGCATCGCTTTGTGGAACGGGTCCGCCAAGTCCAGAAGGCATACCTTCTGTTCTGTAGTCCAAAACAGAGGGGAAAACACGTACCTTTGATTGTAACCTGTCGCGTACATATATTTATTTTGGTTTATCAGTTTCGTTTCAATACAGCTGATATGGACCAAGAAGGTTGTATATCTTTGCACATGTGTTGACTGGGTAGCCATCAACATCAGCATGGCGTCAACTATAGTATGCCACCAAGAGACCAGGAGATCTAGTAGTGCTTTCATTCTAGCTGTTTCCTTCAGCCAGTTACATAGGACGACATCATCCTCTTTAAAACTCGAGTCCACTTCATCTGATGATGAAGAGGTGACGAGTGAAGGAGTTGTTGAGGTGACAACGTTCTGAACACAAAACCTCAAATATCCAACGAAATTTCGCCGTTGTTTTGAAATGGGAAATTAAATGAACTTTTGATGATATTTGATCGTGTAATGGGTCTCCTGGTCTGTTGAACGTTAATGGCCTTTTTTCAGACGCCGAAACCAATTATTGTAGATTATAGCTGGAGAACAGTGTCTTAGCAATGCCGAGCTCTGACAATATTTGTGCCTCCTATTATGACGGAATGAATGAGTGTGGCTCCATGGCTTTCAATGTTTATCATTTCAGCGTGCATTGGTTCTCAATGTAAAAACGATGGGAGTTCTTCAGGTGGTTTCATAGGTAAATTTCTTGTGATTGTGGACTCTCTAACAAGCATCGTCGGTCGTAGTAGCTCGGTTCACTGCATCTTCTTAGAGAATACAATGCCTTAGCCATATTAGGATATGACATTATGTAAGCAAGAGGATTGGAGTTTGATAAACATAACATGCATTATGATCGTACCCTATGCGCATCTTATGTATCGTATTGTACAGTTACCATTTGATGTTATGTGTAATGATGAATCATAGATGACATTAATATCCCTTCGTTACAACATCCTGACAGACAGACATCAATGTCATGGCTACACAGTGATAACATGCATGTGGTCTGTCTGTGAATGAGATCTTTTTTGTCCAGTCACAGGCCCTTTCGGTGTTAAGATTAATTTCACACATATGCATCGTTACTGTGCACATGCTCATCTTTAATATGAAATATGTATCAATATTTATTAATTGCTCGTCCGCCTCGTTCCAGGGCAAAAATGACCTGACTCGATGTGTGCCATCGCACGCCGTCGGTTTGGGTCGTTGTCACCACAATCTGGTTTGTGTGGCCCGGACGATGAATACTTACAGGCCGTCGTGATTTGGCTGGAATATTGCGTTAAACAAGATACACTCACTCGTACAACGTTTAAATACATATGGTTAAATTTTGGTATAAGGAGTGCATTCATACATCATTAGAGTTAAGCGGCATTTGTGAATAATGAAGATAAAACCATTCACTCTGTATCCAAGCATCACCCACTTGTACATCTTTATTATCATTGAGGCGGTTTATTCCATGGCTTTGTTCTTCAAGAAGGTGTATTGAACTGGTAGGAGAATAACCTTGTTTGACCTAAGTTTGATTCGTAACCCTGTTTGATTTGTGTTGTTCTTTCACCTACATCATAATTTGATAATTCTTCCAACTTTCTTTGTTTTAGCAACCCTATTCTAACACATTTAGTCTCAACAAATGTCGCACCCAACTTGACGCCCGACCTCACGTCCTGCATTATGCTCTATCAGTTTGTTTTGAGCATGTAAATAGATTCCGCCTTCAGTGTATAAGTTTCGTCACCTGTGGGTAATACTGTTTCAAATATTCAGTCGGATTCAACGGGTTGACATCCTCGATTATCCAGGGAATTATCCCTCCATCCTATTGTGATACATACCCTGTCCCGTTTGCTATGGTTGTGATATCTTATTTTGAGCTTCAAATTATATGGCGCCAAAATAGCCGTCAAATTACATTAAAGAATAATATTCTGTGAAAAGTTGGATTTCGGGTATTGACGTCACTACCGAAGCGAAACGTTAGTGGCGAATGCACCCAGGGTATTTACCATAATAGTATGTTGAGGCAATACTCTGGAGGATGACGGATAGTTGACATCCCATCAGTAGGGGTGTTTGTAAGGCATACGAACTAACACAGAACAATGTTTTTCTCTCATTTTGTACTGGTTAGGTTAACCATAGTTAACCACGGACATTTATGTTGGTTTTCTCAGGAGTAAGTTTATGTTAATTGGTGTGTAAGTTATTTGTTTTAGAAATCTGAGAAAAAATATATGAAGGATTGAATAATTAATGAGAACAGCCTGCTTTGCCCCTGTAGAATCACTTAAATGTTTCAAGGGTCAACGGTGCGTGCCAGTGGAAGGAATTCTATCTTTTGTGTCAAAATTTGATATCTTTTACAGCGACCTATTCCTAATGAGAAATAAATCCCCTACCCTCTCTATAACAACCGGGGTGTACACTAGCGAAACACCTCGTTTTAACAAATAGTTATTTTCTATTTAACTTGAATATGGCATGCTCTACTCCTCATTTCTCTCTCTTCGTAACTGTAGAAGTCTTTATACCAGGGCACATTCTGCATGATAGATTAGATCTGTTGTACTCAACTAAAACAAAACATGACTGGGGTAGGTTCAACTTGAGCAAGGAAGACCACAGGTCCTGTCAAGTGTCATGGTAAATTATATACCTAACAAAATACGTCACGGATCATTAATATTTTTGGAGATAATTCTATAAAATTGTTTGCTTATATTCACTCCCAAATATATCCCCCCCCCCCCCAAAAAAAAAAAAAAAAAAAGAAAATTAAAATATTAATGATCCTTAACTTATTTTGTTCAGTATACATATATAAGATGACTAAAATGTAGTTACACAGTGGAGACGATGTGTAACGTTTGTACTAGAACCAACATGTGTCCACCATTGTGTTTGCAAAAAAACATTTGACATTGCATGTGACCGTTTCAGATTAACAGATGGTACAGGTAGCCATTTGTCTTTAAATGAAATCACGAAGGTAACCATTGTCATCTTACAGATAGGATTATATTGTGTGTAGTTCACGATCACATGATGTTCTCGCACAGCGTAAGTTCTAGTTTCATTACATGGTCCGGAACAGTTCTTGTTTTAACGATGTCTCCGCCCATAGTGCTGATTTAAAATATGATTTGAAACCACTTTTAATTTAATGTCGAGAAAGAACTAAATTGGTCATCAAAATTATATTCCTGTGTGGATATAATTATTTCTTTCCTTGACATATTTCATTGTAATTGCACCTTGTAAACCTTGAACATGTCATTAGCAATTCTGGTCCAGAACATTCATAAAACAAGAAACTGTTGGTCTTGGACGTGGTCATTATGGTAAGTACACTTTAAACACTATACCACATCTTCAGCGTGGAATCACATGGCCACAAGGAATCGCGTAGATTGTGTAACTACCCTCAACGATACTCGACTTTACAACGACTGTGGCCCTTCAAAACGACTGTGGCCCTTCAAAACGACTGTGGCCCTTCAAAAGGACTGTTACCCTTCAAAACGACTGTGACCCTTGACAACGCCTATAACCGTTGACAACGACTGTGACCCTTCAAAATGACTGTGACCCTTGACACCGCCTATAACCCTTGACAACTCCTGAAGCCCTTAGACCACCGGACTGACTTAATTTCAGGAATAGGAAACGCCGGCTTATTGGTGATACATTTGCTTCTAATGCGTGCAAGGAGTATACTACCCAAAATAAGTTAAAGAACACCCGATTTTTTCATGAGTATAGTTAATCTGCCATGACATGACATATTAATTATAGTCATATGAAAAAACAGGTGTTCTTTACCTTATTTCGAGTAGTATATTTATTTGAAAAATAAATTGCGAGTAATTCAGTGGTATTTGATTGGCTGAACAAGCAAATATTTCTTGCCACCGAAAACAAATTTGGCCACGCCCACTAACGGACTACTGTTTCTTGATTGGGCCAGGCTTGTGTTGTGTTAATGCGCCAAACGATGTAACTGATTTCGTATTGTTGTGTTTTTGTGTGTTTATGATTAAATGAGTATGTGTAATTATTATTATCAACGTATTTATTTATGAGAATTGACCTCAATACATTTAAGCGTTTCTGGAGGTAGAAATGTAAACACCGGTATGTATACTTAGCATTAATCTGCTACTGTGTTTACGTATATACCTCCATCAACGCAAACACGTAATGAAGTCAATTCTTATTAATACATACGAACATTAATACGGGTTGTGTGGCTCTATCTAGACTCGACCGCCTTCGTGGTCTAGTGGTAGAGCGTCCGCCTGAAGAGCGGAAGGTCCGGGGTTCGATCCCCGGCCGCATCATACCAAAAGACGTTAAAAGATGGTATTTATTGTTACCCTGTCTGGCGCTCGGCATTAAAGGGCTAAAACAAGGACTGGTCGGCTCGGAGTCAGTATACTGTGTCTGAGTGGGGTATCCATGTTAAACCGCGGCATGATATCTCAGTGTGCTAGCACTATAAATCGGCATCAGTCCGGACTAGTACAAGCAGCCACACACACACATACACGTGCATGCACGTCGCTATATAAGCGCAATAATCTTGGACTCGACGTTAAACCCAATTTCACCTCATCTCACCTATCCAGACTCTATGTTTACAGGCCGCTCCCAAGTGGCTGGAATATTGCTGATTGCGGCGTAAAACAACAGTTATAAATACACACTTCGATTGTTATTGTCCAGGTTCCAGCGACCTTTCTGAAGTGAACGTTACTGTTATAATGTTATTAGCCTATTATGAAAGTTGCATTATTGCTCAACCTTACATGACGTTTTGACTGAGACCTAGTTTGAGAAATGACTTTGAACTCTGGCTGAGGGAATAAAATAATTAAAAAACGAGTATGGAAGACTTTCACAAGTACCATTGCTTTACAGGCTTTGATCAACGGCACAATACCCGACATAGCCGCGAGTTGACTTTCTGACTGGTTTACAGACTCCATCGTCTTTGACAAATGCGCCATGAAGCGAGACTCCTTCACTGTGGTGTTGACAGCAAAGCTATCTGTCATATATGCTGATTAAACCTTTTGTTGTTGGTCTTTCAGCTGATAATAACTGTACGGCCTGCAAACATCCTATGACATTCGAAGCCATCGTCGACAACAACTGTCGGTCCCAATTTGGTAAGGTCGTTTTTCACCTTTTTTTGTCAATAGAATAGGATATGCGTAGTATCAGATTTTCCCCGAGCAATGAAAAGGTAGAATAGTGTGTAAGCACCCAAAGCTTTAGGATTTTAATCTCCTCGTTCACTGTAGCCACTAACGACTTCGGTTTCGGACTCCGAGAACTTACACTCTTGCCCAGTAAATGTGAAGGATTTAACAATGTAACAACGTCTATTGTCCCCTTGCAAACATAAAAAAAATATTTGCACTGGTCTGACTTAGTTAACCGATCGGTTATCTACCTATCTGCTTTAACGCTGGTTTTGTAAAGAGGCAGAAATAGAAAGCGTGCTGACAGCCACCTTAACGATAATACCTTTCTTATGTCTTGGCATCATCATTGATTATCGATATATTTTGGGAAAACAGTAATGTGATTACAGCATCGTTTCACCTCATGTTACGTTAGGTATATAACTAGTTGTAAGAATGGATATTGCAGTTTGAAGTCCAAACGGAATATAACAAGGGTGAAAAAACTGAAAAAGGGAGAGACGTCAGTGAACTGGGTGTTTATTTAGGAGAGGAGAGCATGGCGTCACTCACTGTATATGCCACTGTTGCATCGTGAAGGGAGAGTAATCCTTTTCCCTTCGTGTTTCTGTCATGGCGTTGTAGACGCGGTGTTAGAATTCTGGCCGTGATTTATGCGAGAGTAACAGAAGAAAGACCAACGGAGACTACCTTGATAGCGTTTCCATTCCACCAGTCAACGCCTCAGCCTATAAATTTATCTTAAACTCTCGTTCATTTTCTGTAAGAGGAAATAAGAGCATTTATTTGGCTGAAGTAAGGGTTGACATCCTCCATTTTTTGGGGTCTAGTCACGGATCTCACAACAATCTTGTCTGATTACAAAGCAAGAACGATGATGGAATTACGCCGAAAAAGTTCAACGTCGGTACTTTTTACGCTGCAATGCCGTCGGTTGAATAATAGTTGTAGCAAATGATATCCCCATTCGGCTATTTCTTTACGATGTCGTTAGCCTCTGCGATCAGAAATCGATACTAATGTTCAACCGCTGATTAGTGCACAACCTGCACATTAGTATTGTCAAGGATGTATTATTATCTTGTGTTCGGACATACCGACATAAATACCGTTACAGAAATAACTTGTTGAGACGCTGCTGACATATATTCCTTTCACACTATCATTTCAGATTGTACTGTGTATCTGTGGTGAATCGTGGGGTGTGGGGTGGGGTGGAGTGTATGAGTCTGTGTGTGTGTGTATAGGGGGTGAGGGGGGGGGGGGGGGGGGTCGTAAATGGTTGTTCTAGCCAGCTCTTACCACGGGTGTACTTATCTGTAATAGTTTTTATCTACACATTTGGTCACGTGGAAAAACGGATAATTGTGAATATGTTGATTCACTTAAAATTATTTGAACACAAATCTTTGACATCATACAATTGTTAGCTATCGTCTTCTAACAATGGATCGGAAATCTATATCGAAACTACATGGACCAAACCCGCATAAGGTTGCATAATGAAAGAGTATTCCTATCTGAAGATTAATGTTATGCAGATATCTGGCGAGTGTACAGCGAGAGCTTCCGTTGGGGTGTTGACAACAATGTTGACACACACTTGTTTGCCGTAGATTTCATTCAAACGTCTTTGTTCGCGACGCGTTGCGTAACTCATATCAAAGGGTAGCTTAGGTTTCCAATGATGGGGCTTAACAATGGCAGGGTAGTCTACTACATTCCCCGATCTCCCGACAATATTTAGTGAAACCTGAGCCATAATATTGGTGATGAATGTAAACCAACGTTTCAGGCTGTATGTCAAGTAATGGCGACCTGGCTTAGCTAGGATTCCCAGCCTCGGAACGCTTTTATTCTCCTGGAGCATGAATTACTGTTACTACCGCGCGAGGCTATTATTTAGATCGAGATAATTCCGTATCAGACCTCATTTTATAAAACTCTTGACAACCAACAATGATGCGTCAATAATAAAGAGGGAATGGTTTCGAAAGGGTTAGTTTTTTTGCACCGTCATTAAAGAACGTCTCAAGTTTGTTTCCATCACGATTTGCGAATATAACGGTTTTGTGTTTCGAGACTTTTATATCGTATTACTTTATGCAATACGTGTTGCGTATTTGCCAAATTATGTTTTTAAAGTCTTTTGTAGATTTGTACTTCCCGAGAGTAGGTTACGGTTGGTGACGGCATCTCGATCCTGAGTGAGTTAGTTGGGTTTAACGCCGCTTTTAACAGTATTCCAGTTATATCACGGCGTGTCAGCTTAATGTGGAAGGAAAGCCCGAAGTGATGCAGGTCTCAGACGTTTACCACTTCGGTGAAACCCACGAGCACGGGTATGGTGCTGACAAACCTAGAAACATAATCGAGGCGAACCGGGATTCGAACCCACAATCATAGGTTTCTGGCGTGCCCAAGGGAAATAACTCTGCACAGCGAATCGCGGCGCCTTAGACGACTGGGCCACCCGTGCCCCCCTCGATCCTAAAGAGTGTGCTATACTTAACATGGATCTATATGATGCCCCTTTCGTCATCAGTAATGCATTTAATGTACTATCCTGTAATCCTTTCAAACGACATAATCAACTCCAGATTAAGTGTCATACTTAAAATACAAGAACTCTCTTGGGATAGGTTTCACGGAGCTATCGTAGCGTTACGACGATCGTAAGCCCCGTTAAAATGTATGACTTAACGAAATTCGCAGCACATTGTTAACTTCCTGAAACCCGTCCTATTAGAGTGGGTGAGTTGAGTTTAATGCCGCTTTGAACAGTATTTCAGTTATTTCACGGCGTGTGAGCTTGATGTTGAAGTAAGCCGATGTGATGCTGGTCTTATACGTTTACCACTTTGGTGAAACACACGAGCAGGGGTATGGTGCTGACAAACCTAGAAACATAATCAGGGCGAACCGGGATTCGAACCCATGATCACAGGTTTCTGGCCTGCCCAAAGGAAGCAACTCTATACAGCAAGTTGGGGCGCCATAGACGACCTGGCCACCCGTATCCCCTATTAGAGAAGAAATTATCTATATTAACCCCTGGGTTCACAGTCTAATTTTCCTGTTTCAGTTATACGGACAGGTGTCGCCGAACTCCAGAAGAGGGATAACGACGCCCTCGTTGTCTTGAAGAAGAAGAAAAAGTTTTACAAGAAAGAGGAAGCCATATCGAAGAAGGATAAGAAGAATATGGCCTTCATCATAGAAGGGGGAGCCAACTGCCAGTGTGACCTTCTCAATGACACCAGAAGCAAATTTCTGATAATGGGAAACAAGAGGGATAATACGTTCGTCATGTCCTTCGTTGTCCCATGGGAGAAGAAAAATAAGGATTTCAAGAAGGCTCTGAAGAAGATTAAGAAGGGACACGAGTGTAAGGACCTATTCAACAGCGAGGTCATTGGTGTGACAACTATGCTCCCGACTGATCCCGCCCAGGGGGGTAAACCAAAAACGAAAGGCAGAAAGAAGGGAGGTAAGCGAGGCAAGAAGGGCAGAGGAAAGAAGGGAAGGAAGGGAAAGGGAAAGGGAAGAGGAAAGAAGGATAAGAAAAAGGGGAAAAAATCAAAAGGTAAGAAGCGACGACCAAAGAAGGATCGCAAGAGGAAATCGGGTTCAGTAACCACACCAGCCCCGTAGAAGCCTGATTGAGGACATCTTGGCAGGGACTTTCATTTCAAATACTCCATGAGGTGTACCATATTTACATTCTCGCATCCTGCGAAGGGCATCTGACAATGCATGCTGTGACCAGCGGACGGTGTTGCCAGGACAAATCTTACTGATAAAAGGTTCGTCATCATCTGCTGGCCTCCATAGGTTAGACATATGTACTGGTAGATACAACCAGGCGTCTCGTCTCGTGCTAAACTCATTGGATACAATCCTTGTATTACTTTCAATAGATCTAGACACATTTGTACGCAAGCGCCAAGCGCAATAGTCATGAAGTGTGGGTCTCGGTTTCTCTCAATTTTTCAGCAAATTTCGGATTTGTCAACACTGTCCATCTTCGCCTGTTAAACGCAGCTGTCAAACTGACAGTTTCAGCAACTATTTATAACTCCTATTATCAAAAGGTCAGGAAGACTAATGGATGATATATATAAGGTGCATGTATATCTACATATACGTATTCTAACCCACCAATCAGAGACTCCCACGGTTTTGTGTATATCTGTAGAATATTATGTTCGTGTCAAACATACCGCGTTATAAGACGGGTGCCATTATCAAGCGTGTATTTACCGTATTTCCCCTGTATTTACTCGTATCTCTATGTTTATAAATATTTACGTTCACGACATCGATCAATTAAACCAAAGATGCTTTGTTGTGCTTGTAGTATAGGGAGCTCTTGAATGCCCTGATTCTGGTATTGGCTCTATCTAGTGTCCTTCGTTGCTGAGAACGTATACCAAGTTGTAAATATGTTGCAGTAAACGTCGTTTGCATGCATTTATTGTACAAAGCTATGGTAGTCCTCTTGGTGTGTAGAACAAGGGACGTGTAGTGTGGACCCTGAACGGACATTTCATATGGCGTTCTTCCACCCATGGTGGCCATGTTGTAAAACCAGATGTACATAACAAATATCGATGACAGTGCTAGCCCAGAGAATACTCTGGCAAACTGTAAACCAGTTGTAGTCCAAAGATGCACAATTCTTGGAAATTCATCGGAAGTTTTCCTGATGGACGGTTCGTGTGTGCACATGATATTGTAATGACAAGGTAAAATTGGATTCTGATAGCGAGCCATGTTTGGACATGTTTACATGTGACCCGGAGATTGAGTTTCGGTATGTACCTGTTACGTGTTATGCTACTCTAAATTTGTTGATAGCGCTTTTGTAAAAAAAACATGGACTCTTTGACTGTCTGTCCCTAGCTATTCAATTGTCACATCAAATGATATTTTGGAATCCATTAACCCATGTGAAATAACTGGTCAAAGATTAACATATAAAACTCTCAACCCTAATATTGATTCTTGTACTTTTTTTCACACTGGCGGGTTTTTTATAACTCGCATTCACTCGGATTCACTCGGGTTCTCTCGGCTTTTTGCTACCTATGATATCTCTGACAGCAATGGAGTAATGATATTGCATAAATTCTCTCTGTAAACAAAGCATTAATACTGAACAAAAGAAGTTACGAACATGAATATTTTTTTGATATTCTTGTGAAGTTGTGCGTCCAGTCTTCACTTAAACAAAAAAAACCTATATATTCAAGATCCCTAACTTTTTCTGTTCAGTATAATTCGTATAACATGATAGCTATACGTTATTCTGTGCATAACAGAAATATCTTGAGTTGAAGATGAAGACAAACGAAAAGTTGTACAAGGTTCGCTCCTGCCACCAGGCTGTGTCGGTGGGTAGACACGTACACGTAGTTCAAATAAAGAAGGTGAGGTGAGGTGAAATTGGGTTTAACGTCGCGTCCAAGATTATTGCACTCATATAGCGACGTACATGCACGTGTGTGTGTATGTGTGGCTGCTTGTACTAGTCCGGACTGATGCCGATTTATAGTGCTAGCACACTGAGATACCATGCCGCAGTTTAACATGAATACCTCACTCAGACACAGTATACTGACTCCGAGCCGACAAGTCCTTGTTTTAGCCCCTTAATGCCGAGCGCCAGACAGGGTAACAACAATTACCATCTTTTAACGCCTTTTGGTATGACGCGGCCGGGGATCGAACCACGAACATTCCGCTGTCCGGGCGGAGGCTCTACCACTAGACCACGGAGGCGGTCCAAATTAAGAAGGATTCCTGCTGGCTGAGGTTCTAGGACTGAATCGACCCGAGTGGTTCAATATACCGATGCGCAATTCTTGACATGGTGTTACAGAATGTAACTGGGTCTTTTGTCTATGATCAACCATCTATTGTAGTATTGGTGGTAAAGTGTCACGCGTCATATTTAAAGTAAAGATGTGAAAGATACAAAAGCCTAATATTAATCACAAGAAATATCTGTTATTAGCAGAATCCATTGTACCAGCTATATCATTAACGTGTGTTTATGTATCACTCTCATATAGTGTGATACCAGGTGTTTGCGAAAAGGTGAGCGTATCCTGCCCCATCGGTGACACCCATCACAAACACATGCAAAGGCATGTTAAGTGTTCACGTGAAAAGACACAGGGAACATACGGTATAAGTCAAAATAAGGAATTTCATCGGACATCATTTTGGTCACTGATGCGGCAAATTTGGAAACGTTTTCCACTTTGAAAGTGTTACTAAGGTCTTGAATGTTGTGAGCCGGTTCAAACAACTCTTGATCAATAGTCGTGTGTTGCTCTTCGTTGAAAGAGCATGCTCGATTGTATCTCAAAAGTTGTGAAATGTAGACACCAAAGTCTGGAGCTACTGGGACGTTGCTCAACAAAGAGGAAATGTTGACCGTTGACATTGAATCATCCCGCTTGTCATACAGTCTTGTGGATAGTTTTCATAACTCTAAATCTCCATGCATGGATCTAAATATGAGTGAGTGAGTGAGTTGGATTTTACGCCGCTTTTAACAGTATTCCAGTTTTATCGCGGCGTGTCAGCTTTATGTGGGAGGAAAGCTCGAAGTGATGCAGGTCTCAGACGTTTACCACTTCGGTGAAACTCACGGGTGTGGTGCTGACAAACCTAGAAACATAATCGGGGCGAATCGGGATTCGAACCCACAATCATAGGTTTCTGGCGTGCCCAAGGGACGCAACTCTGCACAGCGAATCGCGGCGCCTTAGACGACTGGGCCACCCGTGCCCCGGATCTAAATATGAAGCAAGAAGCGTGTAGTCCATCCTACTCGGATGAGATGGTTCGGGATGCGGCCATCACTCACAATGACAGGAGCCACGGGTGGCCCAGTCATCGAAGACGCCGCGAGTTGCGTCCCTTGGGCAATGTGGGTTCGAATCCCGGTTCGCCCCGATTATGTTTCTAGGTTTGTCAGCACCATACCTGTGCTCATGGGTTTCACCAAAGTGGTAAACATCTGAGACCTGCATCACTTTGGGCTTTCCTAACACATCCCACATTCCCACATTCAGCATCCCACCGGGGTACTATACACATACACCTCCCGTACGCACAAGAAACGCACACGCACGTTTCATTTGACAAGCAAAACCAGAAGACTGCTGTGTGTACGATGAACGTCGACACTGTGACGATACCCCTATTTACATGACTGCCTACCCGACTTACCCCTGTTGTTGCTGCCAGCATCTTCATCTGTCCAACGTATATTGTTGATCAATAAGTCAATAATGGGGATGAAGCCCATTTATGGTATCCCCTGACGTGATAGTTCTGGAATATTGCTAAGAACGCCGTTAATCCATACTCAATCAATAAGTAAAATTGTCTCGTTGAAAACGTAAAACATGTCTATTTTCATAGGCAGTGAAAATCGAAAACGTGACAAACGAACAGATGAACCACATTCTCCCGAAGACGTGCTTATATTGTAAGAAACAGTATTTGACCACAATCAACGAAATAACTTCTAAAGACGTCAAAGTTTGGGTGATTACTGAGTGAGTCGTATGTAACGCCGCCTTCAACATTGTACAGTTAAACGGTAGGGTAGACTAGCGGTAGAGGCGTTCGTTTGTCACCCGGGTCGAATTCCCCAAACAGGCACAATGGTGATAGGTCGTTATATTGCTAAACTAATCCCCAAATTGATGCACACACATCCCCACCCATTCTTATCGTCAATATACGAATGAAGCCAAACACTGCCCACAACATTAGCATTGGCCAGTTTGGTGAAATCCAACAGTGAGGGAATCGGGCCAAATCGAAAACCCAACCCTCGTCCAAAAAAATAATTCATCAGGTAGGAAGGTAACTCAGGATCCCTTGGACATTCCTGGCCCTAGGTAATTGAAAATAACGATGAACAAACCCAGACATGGCCCTGAATGTATGTTCACAAATGCAGAGAATAGGCCCGACCATGGTGCTGAAGGTACGCTGTCTCAGTGGAGGCTCTCGAAGCGTGGCAGCGTGACCCCGCCCATCTGTCTAGGTATTATGGGCTGCCTGCCACTGCATTGTGCCCCTTATATCAGTTAGGGGGTTTCTCCTGGGCGCCACCGTCTGTATGTTGAGCCACTTACCCATCCATGGACAAGTCATATGGCATTGCTAATTAGATCGTACGCGTTGGTGTTAACGGCAGTTACGCTGTCACTACGTTCGCACATGTGAATCCATCTTTGTTAAGAAAGGATATGGGCGGAATATGCAACTGTCAACTCGGCGTTAAATACTACGTACTGTAGACCAATTAAAGGGGCTTCCGCCAGCACGGTTCTCATTTCATTAAATATAGTGTACGTACTTGAGGTTAAAATAGATCATCGTCTACCCCAAAAGGAAATTCCTATTTCAAGTAGGAAGACCTTCTTCTACTTCAGGGCTCGATTCCAAACATGGGTACAATGTGTGATCCCAGTTCTAGCTTCCCCCACCGTGATGTAGCTGTAGTCAATCGTCTAAAGTACCGCAAATCGCTCTTCAGAGTTGCGTCCCTTAGACGTACCAGAAAGTTAAGAACGGGGTTCGATTCGGGTTTTGTCCCGCTTATTATTCTAGACTTGCCAACGCCATACCCCGTGGGTTTCACCAAGTGGTAAACATCTGAGACCTGCTTCACTTCGGGCTTCCCTCCCACATTTAGCTGACACGCCGTGGACTGAGATAATATTCAAAGCGGCGTTAGACCAAATTCACTCACTCACTCTTACACTCATTCGGGTACTGGCCTTTAAAGGAGCATTATGCTCTGACTCCTTCCCTACTGTCTGACGCTGCCCGTTTGGGCTCATCAGCTGCCGGAGTCGATTTGCTGGCTGCGCCGACTGAGCGTGACGAGAGACTGGGCTACTGGTCTGTAAGGACAGCAGAAATAGTGAGTGAGTATGGTTTTACGCCGCTTTTAGCAATATTCAAGCAATATCACGGCGGGGGGACACCACAAATGGGCTTCGGGAATCGAACCCGGGTCTTCGGTGTGACGAACGTTCGCTTTAACCACTAGGCTACCCGACCGCCCCTCACAGCAGAAATAGACTTTGAGACAATGACGCATGTTAATCAAAATCTTCAACTTAGACGAACGGACAAAGAGAACGGTGGAAGCTTATCGGATGCTTTTATTGTTAATACCCCTGGATGGTATTGTCTCAACAAACGTATCCCCGCAATGAAATCGTGGTTTCTGATTTCTTATTGTATAGATGATGAGGTGACTGAGACTGATTTTGGATCCTCTTTATGTATTTCAGCTTGGTATGATTCTGTCATGTTAATGGTCCAATGAGGGGCGATAGGGTAGCATAGTGGTTAAAGCGTTCGCTCGTCACGCCTAAGATCCGGGTTCTATTTTCCACATGGATAGGACGTGTCATGCCTGTTTGTGGTGTCCCGGCCTTGATATTGTTGGAATATTAATAAAAGCGGCTTAAAATCGTACTCACTTACGACCGATGAGATGAATTATAAACATTTGAGAGCTTCGAAGCCGAAAAATGAAACCCCATGTTTCCAGTGTATGTCCTCTTCCATCGGGCGCAACCGACTCACACCATTCACCGAGTCACTCAGTCATCGGTCACAAATATGAGCAGTCTCTCTGGTGGCGTCAGCAGCTAAAACTGGCGGTATTAAGCCATGCTTGAGAGGGTTCCGTTGGCGCCGACGTTACGCCAGCGGGCTCATTTGCACCATTACATCATCACATCAGTGAACATAATTACAGATCCTCTGTGTCCATTAAGGGACGGTGGGGTAGCCTAGTGGTTAAAGCGTTCGCTCGTCACGCCGAAGCCCGGGTTCGATTCCCCACATGCGCACAATGTGTGAAACCCATTTCTGGTTCCCCCGCCGAGGTACTGCTAGGATATTGCTAAAAGCGGCGTGAAACTATACTCACTCACTCACTCACTCTT